GTATTGAGCATTTTATAAGCAAGTTCATGCTTATAAATAAATAGCCAAGTGTACAACAAGACAAGTATTGCCAATATAACCTGCTATACATAAATGCCAAAAAGCAACTCTCATCCTCAGTGGCTAAAAACAGGGTTTTAAAATGATTATGAAGTAAGAAAAGCTATATCATGTATCAAAATTTTATAGTATATCATATTTATTGTAAAATTAGTTTTTTCTTGTAATACAGATAATGATAAATGTTTGTGTAATATATTAACTCTTAGGATGTGTGTTTAAAATATTTGGCCATATTTGTGAAAATATATGATGATTCTATAATATTAGACTAATAATCTTTTTCATACTTGTATTACATTACAATTTTTATTTAAGTGTTTCAAAAGTTATGAATATGGAGTTTCAATTGTGTTTTTATAATTGGGTATTGTCCCTTTTACTTTTCACTCCTTAATGGTGTAATTAATAATAACACAATAACATGGCATAGCAGTTTTTTTAAAATGAATTCAAAATATTTTTTTGCTAACTTTATGAAATATTTTGCAAAGTGTTTTTCTTCTTGTTTCCGCTCTGAACTTTCAAAATTGTATTGACATGGTGTATTTCGCCTCCTCCACTGATCATAACACGCAAGCAATCATCGAAAAAAAAGATCTACAGATTTAGTTACAGTATGTTGTTTTGGATTCGTTTATTTATTTAAAAAATATCGAGGCCTCACAAGATTTTAAAAAAGGTTATAAACACAAGCATACTATTTGTTGTTGAGTTGTAGGGAAAAATGATCGTTGATATAGTCAAAAAAACAATGACGTGTTTTTGTTGTTTTTTTTGTATCAATATGATTTTTGCATATTAAATGTGTCTTCAAATCTCTTTCCCTTGTGGAATTGCAGTTTCTCTTGTTATTGTCATCGTTCCCAACTGATTACAAGCGGGGCTTTTCACAAAAGTAACATCACAAAACCAAGAAATTATTTTTTACGCCGATGACTTTTTATAGCCATTTTTTGCCGTTTCCTTCGACCGTTTATAAGCTTTGTTTTAGATAAGAAATTTTGCAGAAGTTTTTATTTACGTCGTTGTTATTGTTTTGTTTGTTTCTTCGTAAATGAGTTACGCTGTAAAAACTTAACTAAGAGGGGATGGATTTATCTCAAGTTTTTAACCAGGTATGTATCTTCCATTTCAAAGGCTTTTTAAGAGCATAAGCTTTGTGGACATTGTAAATTTGTCAATGTTGTAAACATCGCAAGTTTTGCCGACAAAAAAACCAGAAACTAATCGTATCAAATCGTTTCTTACACCAGAGCAATTGCATTTTGTGTTGTCTTTTTTGCACCCGGTAGGTCTTTGCAACGTACAATTCATTCATTGACAAACAAAGAAATAATGTTCTTTGAGCAATGAATCTTAAAGCATTGGATACATCAAATAATAAATTGCATGACTTCCTATGAAGTTTGCTTGATTAAATATCATATGTGTCATGTAAGCTCATCACTCTTTTGAAAACAATCTAAATTAATTTAAAATGAAATGGTAGCTACTACACGATAAATATTGTGCTAAGTTTACCAATGATTATACCTATAGATAAATGAGCTTTACTACTGTTTTTGCTGGTTGCTACTCTATATCTTTTATGTATCAGCTTTGTGAGATACAATGATGTTAGTCTTTTAATTACAAAAATATTTATCAGCAGGCATGGTGAAAGTCTTTGTTGCTTGATATAGCTATATATTTCTTACAATGGCTTAATACACAAGCAGAGAAGATACATGAAAATTAATTAGTGAGTTGTATTGACATTTTATCATGTATTTAAATAATAGAAAATTCAAGAAGTGTGCATTGTTTTCATTTTGCACAAGTCCATTATATATAATTGGTATTTGAATTAAAGGTGTCCTTGTACTACACAGAAGATAAGAGTTAAGTCTCTTGAGAAAAAATCTGAATTTTATGCTACAATTTAATCTGGACACAATGTCACCTTGAATCTTTCAAAAAAATTTCTTTTTGTATCATCAACATCCGTCAAAACGAAAATAGTTTGCCATATATTAAGACTTTTACAAAAGCCAAGAGTTTTAAAGTTTACTTGCCCGCTATTACAAAGCATAAATAATGATTAAATGTTATGTAATTTTACTCAAAAATGAAAAAATACTCCACACAAATCTCACTCAAGTTATAACATTGTGCACAATGACGTTATTCCCTGAGTCACAGGGATGAAGAATATTTATTTTCATTGAACTAAAATATATGCCGTAATAGAAAAGCATAATAATTTTTTAAAGCCAAATTTTACAACCAGACAAGCGTGCATGTAGTTCAAAATTCAAACAAATTTTACCCCGCGAGAAAACCTCGAAACAGTTTTCAAACCGGCACTATACACACGTGTGTCAAGTGCAATCTCACGGTTCTGTGTGTAAGAACTGAAATCAACTTTTGCATCAGCGTTCCATGTATTTCAGTTCAATGATTTATTTCAACATAACACTTATGAATATCTTCAATAGGGACGTTTAGACTAAAATCACGTACGCTTTCTATTAACATTTTATTCTCGTTGCCTGTAGAACTTGCATTAGCTTTCTTCTTGATATTTCCAATGCTGAATCATTTTCAGTTCTAGTTAATGGAAAGTTGATGATTTCGACCAGTTTAATGAAACGACCCCACTTCAAAAGCAAGTTTACAGTTAGTTACATCATCAATGTAACTAGGGGTAGTGGCTAGACTTAGCTTGGAGCCGGTCTATAATGGAGCCGTAAGGCGCCTTTTCCCCTCCACTAGCCTTGGGTGGGCACCTTAGGCAAGTGCTAGTACACCCTTTGCCTCCCTTGCCAGGGTCACGGCTGGGCGGATAAACTACTAGAGTGCTAACACTGGCGGTTCTGATAGTAAAATCGGCTTCAGTTTCGGCAGAATGCAACGAGCTCCTCTGTGGTCACTGGCCAGGGCGGAAGGGCTCCACGACGAGCTCAACGGCCATCATGTCCTCGTGCCTCCGAGGTAGGTTTTCGAGCCAGAGCCTAGGACAAGGACAGTCGACCCGTGGATCTCGCTGTCACCGTCCCAGCTCGCTAGACCATGACAGATGAGCCTGGGTGTAATGGGTGGGGCCAGTACTGCGCACACTGCACTTCACTTTAAAACTCATCTGCGCTGGCTCGAAGGATACGTTCACGTCTGCTACGCTTTCAACTCTATCAAGTCTTGTAGCGATGGGAAAGGGGCGAAACCGGCAGGTGAAAGATGTCAATAGAAGCCGCAGTCTCAATCCTGCATGCAGGCGGTTCGGGATATTGGTCTCCTGTTGTTGACCCGAGATGACAAAATCACTCGGCAGCACCCCCGAACGAACAAGCAGCCCTTTTTAGGGACAGCAGTGCTTGCTCTACAAGGAGAGGGGCCTAGAAAAGGTGGTCTAACCAAAGCTCGTCTCTCATCCCCCCAGTTGGCTTGCCGTGGTCAACGGGCATCTTTACTAGCGGTCGAACAACAACAAAGAAAGGAAGGTATGCACCCACCGGTATGGGTGCAAAAGCACTGAAACTGGCATGCTAGAACATCAGAACCATGCTTGACAAAGCTGACAGCAACAGACCTGAACGTCGCTCTGCTTTGATTGCACATGAACTGTCCAGGCTAGATGTCAACATTGCTGCCCTCAGCGAAGTTCGCTTCCCCGAAGAAGGCAGCCTTCAGGAGTATGGCGCCGGATATACCCTCTTCTGGTCAGGAAAACCTGCAACAGAAAGGCGTCTCGCAGGCGTCGGCTTCATGGTTAGAACCTCCATCGCTTCCAAGTTGGAAAACCTGCCAACTGGTCATTCTGACCGCATCATGTCCATGCGCCTCTCTCTGAAGAACAAAAAGTATGCCACGCTCTTCAGTGTGTATGCCCCAACTCTTCAAGCTGTGCCTGCAGAAAAAGACAAGTTCTACTCAGAGCTCCGCAGAGTTCTTCGAAGCACCTCCGTAGACGAGACTGAGCTGAAAAGCGTTCACCAGTTCACCTACCTGGGGTGTGTTATCACATCAGATGCGAAGATCGACAGCGAGGTCGACAACAGACTGGCCAAGGCAAGCAGCGCTTTTGGCAGACTGTATAACAGAGTGTGGAACAACAATTCTTTGAAGAAGAGCACCAAGAACTGCGTGTACAGAGCCGTCGTACTCACCACCCCTTTGAGGATTCTCGTACAGAGAACTTGAGGGAGAAACGCCGGAGGAGGAGGAAGAACCGGGAAGCTTCAGCAGCCGTACCTGACGTGACCTTTGACTGTAGCCGCAGCGGCCGAACCTGTTTGTCTCGCATCGGAGTTGCCAGCCACGAGCGTGCCTGTAGTCGACGTGGACAGCCCCCTTTATAAAATCTTCGTTCGCGAAGCCAAGCCAAGAGGAATATCCCTGAAAGCACGCGTTTACTTAGAATATAGCCTTGATGACGATTGGCCACTGTTTTATGGTTTTTAGCAAATCATTAAAACTATTGTCCATTCTACTTTGAAGAAATATTTGTGACACCTGAAATCTACTCCCAAATTGCTCCCCTTTCTTCCAATTCCACGCGTTTGCTGTTTGTAAAATTTTGACAACGTAGCTACAGGGACAAGGAATAAGAACTGAATGTTTGTAATCTATCGATTTACTTTCAGGGAACTTTGTTTTAACTTTTTTGGTATCTCTTTAACTTCATCTTACGCGAGAAGCCCGCTAACATTTAGCAAACGTCGTAGCTTTTCTTGATGTCCAGACTAGTTGTTCTCCAGCAGAAGGTTATCTTTGATTTTACCTTTTAGTTTTTCAAGGCAAATCATTACCAACTGAGCTAGGTTAAGAATTTCTTCACGCTTAATATATGAATTTTCCGCAAACTCGCAACATTATTTAAATCAATCATCATTCACTATCTCCCTATCAAAATTTACTCGTTTACACGAAGGACCCGTACCTGCATCAGACGCACCTGCAGAAGACGACTGTTTTAATAGATTACAGATTAAATTCAGATTAATAAACACAAATCAATTAGCTATATAGACTACAAGCTTAACTACATTTTTCATATTTTTCTTTCATATTTTCATCATCAGTACTAATTTTTAAGGAAGAAAGACATGTTAAGAAATAACCACTTAATGTGAAATACTGTTTCAATGTTTAAATCGTTTGTACGGTTCAACATTAATTCGTCCTTTAGGAATTTCCACGTGCATATATGGCGTATAGACGGTGTCATTTCTTACAACAGGGTCAGTGCTCACAGTTGTATATGAAGGCTTGAATTCCTTAATTATACGATATTCTTTTGGCGTTTCCTTTAGCAACATGTCATAAATGTCGTTCCAATTATCTCTACTGTCTCTGGGGTATTTCCTGTGCATTATATTTGCAGTAGCAACTGGAAGAATTGTCAGTACTTGTCCACGAAATATTATATCAGCGGCAAGAATCACAAATTTTTGACTTTCCCACCAACTCTCCTTTTCGTATATTAATCGATAGGGAAGTATGGATTTTATGGCGTCCTTGTGAAAAGCATTAAAAGCAGCGTCGAAATAAATTGAAACAGGTATTACTTCACGGAAAGGAAAAATTTTATAATCATAATAACATAACGGCTGGCCTTGTATTGTTGGACGTGGGCAGTAAAAAGGCACTCCAATTGCAGGCTCGTATTTCAAAAGAAAATACTCAAACATTTCCAATGACGTATTACACTGACGATACGTCTTTTCAAAATCGGAATTTGAGAAATGGTATGATAAATCTCCATCCAAGAAAATATAATAGAGGTAGGATTGTGAAGAATTCATTGCCAACTCGTACAGAATGTTCCTTCCAGAACTCCAAGTTGTACCAGGCCTAAAAATGTAGCTAATGTTGTAACTAGGTGTGGAGAATTGAGTTGCAGAACACATGCTTTTCCAAGACAGCACAAGGACATCATGCTCTGCTTTATGTCCAAACATTTGTGGGTTAAGAAGATTGTCCAGTAAACAAGACTCTGTTTGTATTAAGTAGATAAAACGTTTATTTTGGTGATTTGATTTGACTTGAATTTTTATACTGCTTGAATTGCTGCTCTTACACGTTTCATGGAACGACTTCACAACATATGTGTTCTGTTTCCATTTGCCAACTTTTAGACAAATACAAAGAATTGTGATGAAAATGAGCCAAGGAAAAGTTTTCTTGAAGTTTTTTCCCATTATGATATTGACCATGACGTTCTAAATTACTTCTGTGGGCTGTCAAAGAAAAACAAAGAAAAAAGCTTGAACGTCTGTATGTTGATAAATTTAGGAAATTCAATTTACTCAGATGTTTACGAAATTTTCAGTTCGCAAGTATTGTTAGAGTAACACTTGCTGTTAGATATTTTAAAAATAATCACAATGTTTACGCAAGGAGTATATTAATTTGAGATGCAATTAAATTTTTTTTTTTCATTTTACCACCCAGAATTTTAGGGCATAGTATCTACTATAAGACACTTATTACTAATTACTCTAAATTTTATGAATAGTTCTATACAAGCTGCTGTTTACTGCTCAACGTGTGAAATTGAATACTGCGTTTTTTTAGAGATAGCAAATGCTGCACCTCTAAATAGGGTCAGAATCAGAACGCCCAAAATGAAATTCGCTTACTCGTAGGCAAACCCTGCAGAAATAAACACATGGCTAAGAAAACTAGTCAACAAAAAAATTTTAGGGAAGAACCAAGATTTATGGTATATTGGATAGCTTTTAAACATGCAACAGCTTGATTAATTTGTGTTAGTTACTCTCAAAACTTCATTGCGAAGGAGCTATTTGTTTAAAAAATAAGTTAAGGAAATAACATCCATTTGTATCACTGTTTGACGTGAGGTTACGCTATTGATATTAGATCCCAGTTATGGAAATGCTTCAGTAATTTAGACTATTGTGTTTCTTTTTTGCAATAAATGTCTTTGAAATAAAAATCTTTTGAACACATATCCTACAGTGTGTGTGGTGCGATACGACTAAAAATATATACATACTTTCAAGTTGTTTAGTCAAAAAAGTCAGACATTCTTTCTTTTTTTATTGGCGAATTTAGTGGGTCACCACTAGTAGAAAAGTTAATAATCTTTTTTGTTCTGATTTCTGAGGCAGATCCAGAAATTTTGGTGACAGATGCACTTCGAGCGTTGAAACCGCAAGCCCTCTGAGTTTATCCGGTAGAATGCTCCTCCTAAAAATTTTGATATTTAGATCGTTGAAAACGCAAATTCCCCCGTTTTTACGGAATAATTTGCAAAAATTTGCTTGCAAAAAATGCTCGCAAGATCACACAACAGCGAGTGCGTATCAGTTTTACCAAATAGTATTTTGCACATACTATATATATAGCTAGCACTTCCCATTACTTTTAGTTTTGCACAACCAATAAAAAGTCACGAAGATTATCGAACAAAATTACTATTATAAGTAAAAATGAAAAAAGGAAAATTTGTGAGAATTTAAATGGAGCCACCAATGTTTGTATATGTAATAGCATGGTTTCGAGTGCAATTTGGGAAAAACATCCACGAATGATTTTTTCACATCTAAACAATCTACGAAGGCTTTAAACTATATTTCTCGATTATTAATATAGTTACATCTATGATTTTATTCATTTGCCATACTTCATATCATAAGCTTCTTTGTTGTATTATATTACTTAATTCATCGCATTTTCTGCTGGTTGATTATAACAGTTCTAGAAAAACACGCACACGGTAAAAAGAAATTGGCCATTTTAGCCCCATGAGGTCGTTTTGGCTTTTGAAAATGCTAGCCATATTAGCTAACATTGAGGGCTAAAACAGATAACAGGGCCGCTTTGGCTCAGTGAAGGTTATTTTTGTTCTACAATTGGTGCCAAAATAGAAAGATGGGGACCATTTTAGCACCATTAGGTCGTTTTAGCTTTTCAAATTGCTTGCCATATTGGCTAACAATGAGGGCTAAATGAGACAGGAGAGGCCAATTTGGCTCCAAGGCGGTTGTTTTTCTTCTACAATTGGTGCAACATTGGTTCGAGAGCAACTTGTTGACTGCATCGAATCGGGTGACTCAATTAAAATATGGCGGCCAACTATTTCATGCTACACGCGTGTTCGATTGCTGTTTACACGGGGAGAACGGCCGTAGATATTTATAATATTACAATAAAAAGCATATGCTATTGTAATTCAAAGTAAAATTACGTCGGTCGTTTTTTCTGAACATTGATATCAATATGCGTTCGCTGTATCAGCGTTTATAAAAAATAAATTTTAATATACAGTTTGATAACGTTATGACGCGGATGCAACCGATGCGACACACTTGGCGAAATATGCAATAAAAGAAACATAAATCGCTGTAGACGTTAAGAAACTTTGTCTCCTCAGAATACTATTTTGCACGTGTCTTCGGTATACTTCATTGCAAGAGGCAAGTCGATTATTAGCTATTAAAATTTTTTACTCAAGAAAGAATATATATTTGATACAACACATTTAAGAACGAGCTGATCAACGTTTCCATCGTAAGTACATGCTGTTTTGACTATATTTCAATAAACACAGAACTTGGCCAAGGAATAATTCAACATGTAAGTTCACGTGTAACAAGGTTTGGCGACCAGTGGTTGACGGTTGACCCGTTTTATTTATTATTCTTAGCGTAACTTTAGCAAGAAACGGTGTTTTCAAACAAGTGCTGCTATATTGTAACGTAATCAAAGTAAGGTGAAATTTTATTTGTTTCGATATTGTAGTTATTATGAACAAAGACAATGGGGAACAATGAACATCCTATAATGGCATTGTCGATTTGCAATTGGTTGAATAAAGCATACAATTTATTGTTTTTAGCCACAAATAATACCAGCAACTTCTTATTTAAGTAATTTAGTGTGTTGGTAAGCACAAAAAAGCTTTAAAATTTAAATGATCCAAATGAACAAAGGATGGTTGAAATGTACATGATAGATTGATGATAAATGCGTAAAGAACAGCAAAATAGATGAATTAATAGACGATGGCAACGGAATTTTTTTCATACGTTTATCATAGATAGCTATGGAATACTTAATTTGGTATTTTTGTGTCTCTTTTAAATTTTGCTTTCGAGAAAATTTAACATAAAATTGAATCCTTTTTCGCCATTTTTGAAAAAAGCCTTATGCTAAATTAAGCCGGAATACATTACTGACGTCATTAGTTGGTATTAACTGAATGACGCAATATAAAATAATAGTATTATAATAATATATAGAACATTTGTTCACTGGAATTTTAAAACAAAAACAACAGTCGGCGGTTGTTAAGATTAACAAAAGTTGTGTAGTATATCACGCTTATATACTTTTCCAATATTTATTCGTTATAAGACGTAGAAACGTTTATTTTGGCAGATCTTACAACTAGGCTTTCGCGACATACCATGTGTAAGCGTGTTTTCGTATACTGAACATTTCGTTCAATAAAAATATTTCATTTTCCAATATTACAAACCTGTGACCAACAAAGAGTTATATAATCATTAATTATTTGTATATATAAATAATTAATGAGAGTCTTTGCGATTTTATGTAGTCTTATATAGGCGATAAAATGTAAGCCGTTAAGTTTTGTTCTTGACTGTAGAGTTAAGGACTGAGAAGTGCACAATGTACAAGTACACTTTTCTATTAACTTAAATTTACGGTCTTTCGTGATAACATGCTTGTTTAAAATGTGTATAAAGTCCATCTGGTGACGCGAAGCGTTTTCGTATGCTAGCATAAACACAAGCACGAAATGGTCTTCGATGTTTATCCCTAAAATTTGAAAAATCCACCTAGAATATCATTGATATGCGACTAATCGATACAGCTTGTGTATTCTCTCCAGATCCTCATCAGACAGGGGCCAGTTTTCTTCTAGATACACTGTAAATTTCAGGTGGCAAAATTTTTACCCCTGTCAATGAGATAAACAATGTGGGGTAGTAATTACCCTTATTTCTAGGGTAATTCCAAATCAAGGTACAACAATTTACCCCACTTAATAGGGTAATGAAAGAGACTAAAATAATTGCCCGGTTTTTGGTGTTCTTGGTAATAATTACACCTAAAAGTGGGAGAATTTCTTTACGTTGAAGATGGGGTAAACAGAAGATGGGGTAAATCAAAGTAAGGGGTAAAAGTTACTACCTACCTCTTGGGTAAAACTACAATTGATAAAACAAATATGGCGGATTTTCAAGGAGTGAGCATAGCGATGCATTCTTATAATTGAATTTAAATTATTATTTTTAAAGACCAGGTGTATAATATGCTGCGATGAACTTTATAAGATAAAAACTAATTTTATGGAGAAGAAGCGGAGCATGTGTTCATGTCATGTGGAAATAATACGCAGTCTTTCTGGTGAGTTTAAAACGGAATTTTTATTAATTTTTATTAATACAACAATGACATAAACAATTATGCACCGTTACACTAACAATGCACTTTGTACATGCCACATGCGTTATATATCTATAGATGTCCACCGTTATATATTTGTAGATATCCACCTTCACATTCATCATTAAAACTTGGGTATTCTGAACGGGTAACAAAAAAAATACTCTCACTTAAATTGCTAACCGTTGAGGGTTCCAGGAAAATTTGTTACAAAAACTAAATACAAAGGCTAGTTTGTGAAGTGCCGGCAATGAGATGACAGCGATATGCAAATGGCTTTTACTACAGAAATGTTCCTCTTCATTATGATCAACCCACAACACACAGTTTTACATAAATTCCATGGATAGATATCCATTTGATCTAAAGAGTTTCATATAAAATGTTATTCAGCTGGTTTACTTCATTGTAGGTATATATTTTTTTACCTTTTGCATATGAATATGTTGATTGAGTTATTACGTCCATGGTAATGATGTTGTTGAATTCACTTTTTTGTTTTCATAATAGATCATGATACACAAACTCAACAGCATTAAATTTTGAACATAGCATCTTGTTACAACAATAGTAACTTATATATCTAGTTCATCAAAGTACATGGATTGTTTCAATTGTATACCATTTGTACTTATATAACTTATAATTTGATATTTCAATTTGATATTTTTTCTATAAACTGAAAGCACAGTTGGAATTAAACACAAAAATGTTTCTAAACACTGTTTATGTAAGAAGCAAAGACATGTTATTTTCTGCACTTGCAGAAAAGGAATGTAAAAGAATATTTTACAAGAAACTAAATAAACATTGGTAAATGACTTGAATAGCACCAGATTTGTACACCTGTAAAAATGTGAATCTATGGTATATTACTAGACTTTTTAGTGAGGATGTAACAAGTCAAGTTTCTTTGGTAGACCACATTTCACTTTATACTATCTGTCAGCCTTCTATGTTCATCTGTTAATTACTTAACATGCTGTTTTAAACTTTTATCATTTGAAAAAATTTCTTGTCACTTATAAATGATGGCTTATTATAGTAGCCTAAATGATATCGGGAAATGCGACCATTTAGTTCTTGCAAGATAATGATCTGCTTTGATGTAATGTTTTAGCATTTCTTTGATAACACATACATATTGTAGCAAACACTTGAGAATGTCATGCAACACATTAGGTGGTAGACTACGGTGGCCATTAGTGACACGTTCATTCTATAGAAAATCGTGCTTTCATTTAGTAAATTAATTGATTCAATAATAAAAAGACAGTTTGCCTTACAAAAGTAGTCAACTTCAGCAAAACAACCGTATTCCACAAATAACAAAGAACAGTTTTCTATTTTAGTGACGTGTTCTGTACAATCTTGGTTACTGTTTCGTAGAAAAATCTTCCATGTTCCGTAGAAAATTGTTGCATGTTCCGTAGAAAATTAAAAACACTGCGGGCGCATATACTTTATAATCTGTGATACATGAAGTTTCTTGTCATTTGATCAAACATGGCGGCTTGTCGACTCTGCAATGTGAACCTTTTTATGCCATGCAACTTCTGTCCTTATTGCGGCTGTAAAGTACAGGTATGATGACGATTGATTGTATAATTTGAAAGAAAATATCACTCAGACAATTTGTCTATTCTTTTGTAGCCGAATAAGACATTATAGAGAACTATTTTAATTATTGGTATAAATATAATATCATAATTAGCCTACTAAAGAATGAGCATGGTATTGAAATGGATTTACGAACTGTTAAGTGTAGACTTAAATCTTACAATTCAACCAGAAGGCAAACAGTTTCCGAGGACCTTGTGCGCGAAACTATTTGGAATGAGATGCAAGGTCCTGGATGCTTGGCTGGTTATCGGAAGATGTAGCACATACTTAAACTAAAGCATCACATACATAACTTACTTACTCAACTAGTTGAAACACATGTCTAAATTAATAAGAAACCTATTTTACATCAGTCACTGTTAAACTCCCCCATGGGATCTAAAAATTGTTAGAAGGTGAAAAATGCCAGTTGCATAACAGGGAAGCAAAAATTATTAAGTCAACCCTGACAAAAGCAGTACGTTTTGGTACCTATGTTTATGATCAACAACAGCTTGGAGAACAATAGAGTAGAATCGTTTTCGATTGTAGCAATCTTGTTCAGAATTTGAAGGTGCTATAATCTGAATATGAGTGCCATCAATGGCTCCAGCGCAATGAGGAAAGCCCCATGTTGTTAGAAAGGCATCAAGATACTCTGCAGTCTATCGCCCGTTGGCCATTTGATAACAAGACGCAGTAACACGTCAACAACAGCTGGGCAAACCTCGTTCACGATTCCACAGGCTGTACTTTTCCCTATACCAAAACGCCAAGCTAATGAACGCAAATCTTCATTGGTAGCCATGTGCCAATGAGAAATTCCTACTCTTTTTCGCAGAGGGATAGTCTTTCTGAAATTTGTATCTTCTCGCAAGAGAGTGTCATTGATCTTGTCGCCAACGAAATCGAATATTCCCTTAGACATACGGAAATTTTCTAGCCACAACCCATCATCTTTCCACGATCTATCGATAGTTTTTTCCAAGAACCAACCAGTGCCTTTGCTTGCATCCACCCAGAATCGTCTTTCACTCATTAATTTATTCCCTAGAGCGCCAAAAAACCAAAAATAAAACTGGCCGTCCCTTTTTTTACTTCGCTGCTTTCTCAGTTTCAAAAAATATTTCTATCTTCTTACACGACGCATTCGCATCTTTTTGTGTTATTCAGATGTAATATTGAAATGGTTGCGATCACTTCGTCCGCCATATTTTGATTGCAATAACATAAGTATTACATTTTGTTGTCAGGGAAACTAGCTCGGCTTACGTGTCGCGTCAGTTCGTATCATTGGAAAGGCTATGATTTCACAAATAATGCATCATAAATGGTATGTTAAATGAACGTCGGATAAACGTCAGGTAAACGTTGTATGAACGTCTGATATATGTTGTATGAACGTCGGATAACTTGGTTTAACTAAGCCTAAAAATTCTAGTTCTCTTACAGCAAATATAGGATTAAATCTCACACAAGGGCAAAATATAAACCAAGGCCAGGCCAGTACAAAATACATAAGTAATGAAATTTGAAATTAAACGAGACTTACCTAAAGTCAAAGTTGGATTGTATTTCTCCTAGATGGAAGGCAACTTCGAAATTATTACACAGTATAAAGTCAAACACTGGGGCTACTCCAGAGCCCTCTATTAGTAAGAGTTGGGACATCTATTGTTGTCCGTTTAGCTTACGCTGATTGGGCAATATTGATCACCTAATCAATTTCCGCCATTTTGGTTCCTAGTTTTGAAATTTGAGTTAGTATTTATATAGCAATTGCTGCTAGTAATACAGTATTTTGAGCTAATATTGCGTTTTTTAATGGATAAGTTTGTAATAACTGATTGCTGACGGCTACTAAATGTCATTAAATATCGCAAGAATCGAGGATTACGAAAAAAATGAAAGAAATGCCTTTACGTCGGACTTACGAAATTTGATTGCGTATGGTGATTGTTGTGCTGAACTGCTTTTGATATAAGGTTCAGGTAACTGACTCAAGTAGAGAAACATTTTTGGGCCAAATAACATTGCAAAGTTCGTGCTGATGCAGTTTCAATAGTTTTGTTACTCCAAAGCTTGTTTTTTAACCGAAGATGAATTCTCATTATGTTCTTAAACTGGTCAATCTACAAACCTCTCAATTCTCAGCCTCTTTCACACTAAAACAAACAACTATACCAAATCACAGAAACTCTTATGATTTTCCATGTTGTATTTTGTATTTTTAGTTCATCATTTAAAAATGAAGTAATTATAATTAAGATATTTACTGAAACAGTTGAGTACAATATATTTTGGTAATGAATTGTACAAATGTAATCTACTTCTGCAGCTCAAATTAGAACATTACTTCCTTCTAGACTTGTCAATGATATTTTAACTGTAGGTTTTGTTTATAAGATCACAGAGGCATATCTCCATAATTTCAGCTATTTGGACTTTTCTACAAACCTCTCAATTCTCAGCCACCTCCACACTAAAACAAACAACTATACCAAATCACAGAAACTCTTATGAATTTCCATGTTGTATTTTGTATTTTTAGTTCATCATTTAAAATGAAGTAATTATAATTAGGATATTCACTGAAACAGCTGAGTACAATATATTTTTGGTAATGAATTGTACAAATGTACCCTACTTCTGTAGCTCAAAGTAGAACATTACTTCTCTTCTAGACTTGTCAATGATATTTTAATTGTAGGTTTTGTTTATAAGATCACAAAGGCATATCTCCATAATTTCAGCTATTTGGGCTTTTTAATGTATATTACTGCTGTTGTCGTATATATTAAAATATTGCTGGCCTTCTGATACATATTTAGGTGCTGCTAGCTTTTTGATATATATATTTCACTGGCAATACAAGGCATAGAATTTGAACATGGGGCTTAGCCCCCTCCAACATACCCCTGTTTAATCATTAAACACATACTGAAGTTTTGTCATTCCAAGATTACTATATGACAATCATCGTATTGTTTTAGTCAATTTTTTGTCGTCTGTGACGGTTTAGAGCGCATACTCGAGCGGCTTTCAGATGCTGGGGCCAGAGTTTCTTTCAGAACCTGATCAACGACCTTCGGGATTAGATACCTCATACTCCAACCTACAATTGCCATAAAAGGTACACAGGCACAAGAGGTCAACCGCGACTCGGAATATCTTAGAGATTAGTAGAATGTCTTAGGGAATTGCACTTTTCTTGGAGTAGAATAGCTGAATTAATGGGTATCTCAAGAAAAACATCACAACACAGACGTGTAGAGTTTCAAAGAGATGTGAAAAAATCTTGGTCTACCATAAGTGACATCGAACTTAGAGAAACAATGCAAGAAATTATGAGTGTTATACCAGGAATACGACAAACACGTATGGTAGGTGTACTGAGGAGCCTAGATATAAGGGTCCACCAGTCACGTGTGAGAACATTAATGCGTAATTTGGAGCCAGTTGGAACAGCACTTCGTTAGCGGGGAGCAATTCATAGAAGAAATTATAATGTGCGTTGTGCAAATGCTCTGTGGCACATCGATGGGAACCATAAAATGACTCGCTGGCAAATGGTGGTTCATAGATCCTTTAATGGCTACTCCAGGTTGATACCATATTTAAGCTGTGCTACTAACAACAAAGCAAATACAGTTTTAGAATTATTTCAAAATGCATGTCGTTTATATGGATTAACTTCAAGAGTGAGATGTGATCATGGACTTGAAAACGTGGGTGTTACTCGAATGATGTTGGAGTGTCGTGGAACAAACAGGGGATGTATCATCACAGGTGCTTCAGTTGACAACCAGCTAGTTAAAAGGCTTCACAGAGATACTACTGGTGTTCTAAGGGCTTATATTGATCAATTTAACATGATGGAACGTTCAGGTCTTTTTGATCCTTCCAATGAGGTATATCGTCTTGCACTACAGCTTGTTTTTGTCACATTCATTGATCATTCCTTAGAAGATGTTGTTAATCAATGGAATCACCATGGAATCAGTACTGAAGGAGGGCTATCGCCTTTTTAACTTTGGTCTGAAAGCATTGTATGATGTACAACACAAAGCAACTTAACTTTAGACAACGTACTATCAAGCGATGAAGTTGAATCATATGAAATAGAAGCACGTGATAAAATTGGAAATGTAGCTGGTGTTGTTGTACCTGAAACCACACTAAATTTAACTGAAGATCAGTTTGCCTATATTGCAGCTTTAGCAAGTCAAAACAACAACTTATTCGATAAGGTTTACACGTACTTGCATAGTTTAAATGCCTTTAACGCAATGTTAAAGACAAAACACAGGTTTCCTTGGACATGATGATCATCAGAGGGACGGATCAATGCTTATTTGACAGCAAGGGTGCAGATTTTCCGAAAGATGTGTTCATAGTTATCTTAGCTAAAGTTGCTAGAGCTTTGGGCTATTTCCGATTTTTAGGCTTACAGAAGAGTGAACCACCTTGCATATTGAAAATATTATTACCTTTATAAAAATAATTATATGATTTTTGTCAATGAGCGTGTATTTAGTAATTTATTTCAACTTTAATGTTTTCATGAAATGGCACATGGTAATATTCAATTGAAAATGGTGGTGGTATAAAACATGTAATTGTTTTTGAAATGAAAAGTTCAACCTTTACTTAGTCTTACTGTATAATTTAATAACCTCTAACACTGTTATATTAGGCATCTACATTACGTAATCACATTTTAGCATTTTTCTTATGACGGTGCTGGGGAATTTTTTTTTGGGAAGGTGCGCTGCCCCTGCCACCCCCATATAATCCACCCCTGATGATCATGCATGTCAATGCAAGTGAAGTACGTTACATTGAAATAAAAACAACTTATTAAGCAACAATCAAAATGCTTTTGCTATCCTGAATTTGTACTTTCATCAATAGATATGACGTAACAACAAGGCTAAAATGATATGATTCTTCTAAAGCAGCGACCTCCTTCACGGCAACTCTATTTTTGCAAATTTCATAATTTCTTGTCGGCTTATGATATCACTTATAAAAAATATTGACTACGTAAATCCAAGAGTTGTTATTTTTATTGCCAATATCTTAACTGAGCTATAAAAATTTAACAAAAGATAACATTTAAAAAATGTTTCAAAACTTTAACAATTAAACACTAACAATACTTAAAACTAAAACGCAACATTTCATAAAATTATATTTGTTGCAAAAACAGTTATTCCTATGGAGTATATGAATGTCTACTTTTACATTCCTACGGAGAAGTAAAAGACTTCTTATAGGACTCAAGAACAGCTTTTAATGATACATTGAAAGACTTTTCATTAATAAGCTGGTTTGGAAAAGTGACTCTAAATGGCAAGTAGAAGCAAAAAACAAAGTGGCATTATTGAATTTTACTTTAATCTGATATAATCCAAAATTTGGCAGTCTGGTGGAACCTGTAGTAAAAATCAGAAATTTTTCAAGAATTGGATGATCTGCATTAAGAATAAATTGCTGCAGATTATTAGCAATTGTTGACTCACTTTTATTTAACACCTCTGGGAACTCATAAACGTCAACCCCTGCTGATTGAGTCTTTTAAATTTCACTGCATGGAACAAATAGTTCTTAAAACTTGTTTGGGAATTCTTTCACTTTATCTCCGAATCCGAGTGCATTTTATCCTTCGGCAATTTGGTTAAGAACAATCTTTCGCCGGCCAATGACACCATGGATGATTAGTAGTTAAACAATCTTCCTTTTATTTTCATTTTGGTATAAAATTACAATAGATAAAAAATAAACAAAAAGCTGATAAATAAAGGGCAAAAATTCATAAACTATGTATGTGTCACACACCAATGATTCTTTGTGCTTATGGTCACATTTTATGTTTCAAATCCAATTGCATCATATTGAGTAATATACCATAACTAAGACAATAGACATATAAATAATCATGTATAATTTCAGTATGTTATGTTGTATTGTAAGTTTAGAATAAAGTCCAATTTGGCGCCTTATAGGAAACATAAAGCAATTGATATAAAAGTATAGTGTAATTTCTCGCAGAATTAAAAGTTTTCTTTCACCAAGAACACTATTTTTCAACAAATCGGCGTATTGTTGAAAGAAAATTTTTGTGCAACTCTGACAGCTGCTTTCCAGTAACCCAACAAGGTCGAAATGTAGGAAGATTTTAAGTTTATTATTCTGATTCGTCTAATCGTCTCTCCGTTCGGGAAAGGTTATTTTGCCTTTAGTGGTTATGGGTTTGTTTTGAATTGAATTGTCAGCTTTTGTACACCTTAAAGAATGTATACATTTGTTATTTATCAAGCAATTTTTGCGCGCGATAGCTCTTTGCTACTCGTCGTAAGCGACACTGCGGGATAAGACCACTGCAAATAGCTCCCTAAAAAACTTTTACAAACAGGCCCATTTCGTCAATTTTTCAGCAAAAAAAAATTATAGCTATTTCAGCAATAAATCCTACAGCCTTTTTATACAACCCGCCCAAATAACCACAAATAACGAACACACCTAGCAAGATCAATGGTTTGTCATGCGCGTGCAGTAATTTTGCGGTTGCACGTCACGCATCACCACCAGTGAATTCTACAACAACTGGAAGGCTAACTCACAATACACATGCCTAGACTTGTGTGAAGCCACTTAGAAGCTGATTTGCCGCGTCGCGTGTATCTCGCGTGTACTGTTTTATTTGCTTGACGGATTGTTTTGCAAAAACTGCTAACTTGGAAATATTGAACTGTGGGTGATTGTTGGCTCTTCTCATTTACTTCTCCCACTTCTCAAGAACTGGTGGAAGATTTGACATGCATCCATATTGTGTATTGAGCATTTTATAAGCAAGTTCATGCTTATAAATAAATAGCCAAGTG